AGAGACCGGGTCTGCTGAATCCTGCGGGGCTCCGCCGGCTTCTGCCCTTCCCCGTGACCTCACCAGCGTCGCTGCCTGCCGACAGGTCGCGCCGGGGATGCCAGCGTCGTTTGCCTTTCTCACGCAGGGCGCCGCTCGGCCGGGACGCGTTCAAAGGGTTTGGCGGCGGGTCGGCAAACGCCACTCAGTGTGTCTTGTATTCGGTTACCGAGCACCCCGTCGGCGGGAACATTCCTGAGGAGGCCCCCCCCCCCCAATTCGCGTACCGTTCATCTGGTTGCGGAGGTCAGTAGCTGGAGAGGTCAGACGAGGCACATGAAGTGTTTTATGTTCGTGGTTTGGCACACAGAAGACAGGCACCCAACGGAGACAAGACTAGAGTGGTTGACGCATATCGGTCAACCTGATCAACGCGTTTGTGGGCTAAGGAGCAGCTAGCGAGAAAATACATTTAAGTTCCAAAAGCTCAACAAAAACATTCTTGAGTGAAAACTGACAAGTTTTTGTCACCAGTCGCTCGGTGAAAGGAGGCACCTTTGGGATCTCGAAGAAGCTTGCGCTTTGCCGGAGACATAAACACCTACCCGGAGTGTTTTAAAGCAAATTCATTCATTTACATAGATAAGTGTCATAGAGGCCAGCAAAGCATCGCGTATTCGACACTCCGTTACGAAATTGTGTAGTACATCCCGCTTGACCCCCTAATTGCCAGGCTACACAGGCGTTGTGCTGCAGCATCCCCTATGGCGGCCTTGGATGTCGGTTGCGGAGCGGCCCACCGCAACGTCAATGTTTCTTGTACCGTCCACTTGGCTTACATCTGGTTGGTCAACCTTCACCGGTATACTCAACTCATTGATGACATTCAAGTTGCGCGTTGGTGGCATGTGTTCTGTCCCCTCTTTCTTTCTGAGATCTACTTCCAACTCGCTTGACAGTGCAGATCCGGAAAGAGACCCCATCAGATTGCTCGTTGAATCACAGGATCTTTGATTACAAGGCTCAGCGGGAAGATGCGGCGGCCCCATTAACATGTACGTTTGCGCTCTACTGCACTGAATTTTAGGGACGAAGAGTTTTATTGCCGCCGTAACAGCGGAACGATGACACGTCAAGGCTATGGTTACCAGCTGTGCAAACGCTCCTCTGCAAAAACAAATTAAGAGTCATGTGACTGCTGGCCTGCCGTCGCAGTTGAGCTTCCTGAATCATAGGCGCCGTGTTTCCTCAAAACGCCACTTTCACATTCGTTTCTTTATTCAAACTGGAACGCGCTACCGCACAGGGTTTTGTACATATCACAGATACAACCAAATACACGTAGACGCAGGGGGCCGAGCGGCAGGGCCAGGCCAGGAGCGGCGACACCGAGATGGGCACGACGTTATTGCAAAACGACTTGGAGCTGCCAGACTCACGGAGAGCGATCGTACAACCTCCCCCAGCCTCAGCCCCTGGGTCAGCCTCCCAGCTCGACGGACCGTGAGTAAGCGGCCGTCTGGCCGGCGGCAGACGTTGAGTAGTCAGCCTCCAGCGGCCAGTGGGGTTCTGAGTCACACTCGTCGCATACGACGGGGCTCGGAGTCAGCCAGAAGATGACTCACGGACAGAAATACCTGGCCTCCGAGCCAACGGAGAGTCACAGGGAGAGAGCCGGCCTCTGACCTGCCGTGAGCCTCCGGGCCTCCAAGCCATCTCCACGTCCACAACATCCGACGGACACCAAGCGATATGACACACAGCACGGGCACGCCTCAGGCGAGCTTTTCGACGGGGCCGAGCGTGACGCCTGGCCGCAGTGCGCGCAGGCTGTGCGCGCCGCCGAACACACCGCCGAACGTGCCGCCGCCGGCCGGGATGCCGTAATAGTCGTCGGCATCGGCGGCCGGCCGGCGACGCTGGCACGGCTCAGTCCGCGGAGCGCGCTCGCGCGGGTTGTTGTCGTACGACGACTCGCCCTCGCTGCACGAGCACTCGACGCACTGGCTGCCGCAGCGGTGGAGGCGGGCGCGCGCCGGCGGCCGCGGACGTAGTCGTTCCCCGCACGGCGGCGGATGCGCCGGCGGCGGCGGCAGGATGTCGGCCAGGCTGGGCCGGTTCAGCACCTTGGCCTCGGCGGGCGGCGCGGCGAAGTAGTCACGGCCGGCCGGCAGCGTGGGGAAGCCGCCGCGTCCGCCGCCGCCGGCCGCCGGCAGGTTGAGCGAGCCAGCGTAGCCGGGCGGCGCGTGACAGGGCCGGCTGAGCGGGTTCTGCCGGATAACGCAGGCCGACGCATACGGCCCGCTGTCACATAGCTGGTCCAGCTCGGCGTACTCCGCGCACAGCGCCGCCTGCTGCTGCTGCTGCTGCTGCTGCTGCTGCTGCTGCTGCTGGTAGCCGAGCAACTTCTGCTCGGAGAGACTCGAGTCCTTGTCGCTGTCGGAGGGCCGCCAGCCGCGGTCCACCCACATCGCCTCCTGACGCGCCTTTCCGGGCGTCGCCGCCAGCGCCTCTTTCACGCCGTGCTGCCGCTTCACGTACACAAGCCCCACCAGCAGCGACACCACCACGAACACGAGGAAGCCGAGCAGCGCGATGAACCAGGCCTCGTGCAGCACGCGAGAGCCGCCCTGGTCGGCGAGCGCCGGCCCACCGCTGGTGAAGGCGAGCGGCGCCGTCAGCGGACCCGGCCCCGGCGCCGTGACGGCAGCCACCTGCGCCCAGTATCGCGTGTGCGGCGACAGCTCGGTCAGCAGCCGGCCCAGCGCCGTGTCGTTGAGCGAGTAGCTGCGCCGCAGCTGCGTGGCGTTGGTGAACAGCAGCAGCCGGTAGCCGGTGATGACGCCGTTGCGCTCGGCCTCCACGGGAGGCTGCCAGTGCAGCAGCACATTCGTGTCGTTGATGACGCGCGCGGTGAAGTCCTCCGGCGGCGCCGACGGCACTGGGATGGACAAGCGGAATATGAGCTGGCGCACGCGGAGATAGTGATCACTCAGTTGAAGATTCACTAACAAAACTCTGAATATCGTATGAAAAGGCCCTGCCAACAGCTCCTTCTTAGTTATTCATAACAACAGTTCAAGCCAGGTACAACCATTGATAACGACTCCTCGTCGACAGTTGACAATACCACAATTGTGAGCATGCAAGGACCAACAAATCATGAATTTTGTAGTTTCTTTTGTCTCGAATGTCAAGCTTATTGTGCAGTTCCATGCTATCGTTTATGGAACACAGTGATCTGTTCCCCAAGGCCCGCATGACATCTTGCATCCTGTGCATTCGCAGCGCATGTGCCTAGCATTTGCAATTGCAATCTGATTTTGAGCATCCACCGTCTGTTGCCCAACTTACCATCCTCGAGTGTCCTGAAGGTGGCCAGTGGCGCGGCGCGTCCCTCTACGCCGCGGAAGAAGGGCGCCACCAGCGCCTGGTACTCCGTGTAGCTCCGGAGCCCCGTCAGCCGATGGCTGGTGGCCGCGCCGTCCGGCACCGTCACCGTGGCCAGCGGGCCGCCGGCCGCCGGCCGGTACCGCACGTAGTAGCCGTCGACGGGCGGTGCGGCCGGCGCCGGCGTCCACACGAGCAGCGCGCCGCCGGCGGCGTCGGGTCGCGCCGCCAACCGCGCCGGCGGCCGGCGGTCCAGCAGCTGGCGCGCCTGCTGTCGCCCGGCCGGCAGCTGCGCCGCCGGCTGCGAGCGCAGCAGCAGCTCCAGGCGCAGCAGGTCGGCGCCGGCGGCGCTCACGGCGCCGCACAGGTAGTAGCCCTGGTCGCCGGGCCGCGGCCGCGTCAGCACCAGCGAGCCGTTGGCGCCGAGTGTGTGGCGGGCGCCGGGCGCCAGCGGCTCGGCGCGGCCCTCCTTGAGCCAGTAGACGAGCGGCGGCGGCCGGCCCTCGGCGCGACAGTCGAGCGCCACCGGCTCCGACACGTCCGACTCGGTGATGGTGCCCCGGCTGGTGATGACGGGCGGCGCTGCAGCCGGCAGAGACGCGTCAGTTCATCTATCGCGCTCCGCAACTATCTTAAACTCACATGGCGAGACTGAACCTGGTGCATGAAATGACAGACCTTCCACCACATATGCAGACGTTCTATGAGCAAAGGCCATTTCATCATCCTTCTTTGTCCAATGACAAATCTACTCAGCAGGCGGACAGCTCGGAGACGTAAAGGTGGCAAGGTCAGCATTGTCCCACGTCGCCTCGGTGACCAAGAGCAACAGTCAAGCCCGCCGTTCGCGAGCGGATCAGGAAATCACCACGTCAGTGGCTGACCGAGATCCGGCTCAGCCGTAGAAACAGCTCCGGCAGCGAACTGCGCGTAGCCTACAGCTCAGCGGAGCCGAGCTGTCGGCAACTGCGATCGCCCGCCCGTCCACGTCACTGGGGTGCTTTTGAAAACATTCCGGACATTTTTGCCTCAAGACGGAAGCTAGAAAATCACGGAAAAGCCTCAAAGCAATGTGTTTTGGTGCTCAGAATTTAAAGACAACAGCGACTTGTGGGACGCCAAGTTTCAATTTTTGTTCAACATGGCGTCTAATGAATTTTGTCAGACAATCAGACATGTGCTCCCACCAGATCAGCTGACGTATGAGGGACCTTACGACGAAAGACAGTTCCACACGGCACCGGAAAGCCAATCAGTCAAGCAAAGGTCACGCCAGTCACCGAGAACTGGCTCAAGTCAATACGGCAGGCTTCGCCGGTGAGAAGGGGGCTCCGGCGCTGCCAAAGCCAGCCGTCCCGAGACGCCGTGACCCACCTGTGACGGAGAGGCGCGCCGAGCCGGTGACGCTGCCGACGGCGTTCTCGGCGCGACACACGTACTCGCCCTCGTCGGTGAGCCGCACGTCGTCGATGCGTAGGCTCTTGTCGTCGGTGACGTGGACGCGGCCGACGGGCAGCTCGGCGCCGACGCGCCGCCACACGATCTGCGGCTGCGGGTCGCCCGACACCTGGCACGCGAGCTCGACCCGCCGCGACACGGCGCTCGTCACGTCCGACGGCGGCCGCAGGAAGAACGGCTTCACTGCGGACGAAGAGGGGGCGGGTCACGCTGCGGCTGTGAAGCCTAGCAGGCGGCGGGAGGTGGCTGCGTCACGAGGTGGTAGGAGTCATTCAGCGGAGCGTCAACATTCTGGATGAGCTCCACGGATGCCGGATGTAGTTACAAGACGCCGGGGACACCTCAAGCTCGGTGTGAGGACTGATAACGCTAGTTTGGTGATGTCACGTACAGTGGCAGCATTTTAGCAGGGATCGCGCTAGGAGAACGCATGGTTTTTATTGTACGGAGTGTCGGCCTTCACGTTTTCGAATACATGTTGCTAGAATAAATGCCATATGAGATGAATCTACCACAGGCCAACGAAACGCACCAATCGATCAGTAACTTATGGCAACATGGACGCAGGATTTCTACGAACATCCGTCACTTCCGTAGCACCCAATCCGGGGTTGCCAGGATGTTCCGTATATAATACTCAAGGGCAAGCAGCACAGTTCCGCTGTCCCTTGAACGACCAATCCCGGGCCCAAAACACAAAAAGATGCATTTTCTCGTCACGTTGGGCTCTAATCCCTGGATGACATTAGCTGCCTGGTCTGATACTGGCAACTCTCGCTATCAAACGTAGAAGCCGGTTCGCTCCCGCCGTTCGTGGCCACGCCAGTCGATAATCCACAGGAAGGCCCGCCAGCCAGCCCGAGTCATAAACCGCAAACAAAACACGCAAAGCCGCCCTGTTACGACCCCGTAAAATCCGTTATCCCAATAAACTAATGGTGGATAAAGCGGAAGCACTGGACAGGTCTCGTAAACAACTGTCAGCACCGGTAAAACAAGGCTACAGAGCATCGATTTGCAATTCGCGGCGGCAGCGGATGATGATCAAATGATGAAAGCACAAAGCCGATGCAGTCCAGGATAGTGTTCCCTCTGATCAAGATACTGCGAAAGAGTGAGTGAATGAGTGAACGTTGTCCTGTCTGCTATGATTCAGCACACATCTTCCCCCATCCAAGAGCGCTCAAAATAGAGCCAGTCCGCCCTAAGGAGCTCGGCGTGTCCGGTTTTACCTTATGTGGATGGCAAGCCTGAGTGGATTACGCGAGCATTGTCGCGGCGACGGGTGTGCTAGATGAGCGCAGGTTATGGGCCGAAGGTGTGACACGCCATGGCGGTGAGCCATTTCGTCCACATCCCTACTACAGTCCCGGCTGATACGCCAGACCAACTGGGAGGTGTGTTTCGCCACCACGCCCCATGAGAACCCCACTCCGCGGACAGGAACCGCGGACAACACGTGCCGCCTCCGGCCCACATTCGACGTCAGCGGTCTTCCTTGCGCTGACCTCCCTTACCCGTCGGCTGGCCTCCCTTGCCTGTCGCAGAGGTGCGTCGGTCCCCTCTGGTCCGCCATGACCTGCCGCCAGCCTCCCCCTCCCCACCCCACCCACTCTAGCCCTCCTGCCCGTCGCAGAGGTGCGTCGGTCCCCTCTGGTCCGCTATGACCTGCCGTTAGCCCACCCCTCCCCACCCCACCCACTCTTCCTTGCGCTGGCCTCCCTCGCCCGTCACAGAAGTGCGTCGGTCCCCTCTGGTCCGCCATGACCTGCCGTCAGCCCCTCCCCCTCCCCAACCCACCCACTCTAGCCCTCTCGCCCAGCAAGCTCGCGTCGACCGGCTCTCTGGCTGTGCACCTGCCTTCTGATCCACCGGCTGGGCGATGCTCGGAATGGCCAGCTGGGCTGCCGATGGCCGCTCGCAGCTGGAACGTCTGCCGCGCAGACAGACTTGCGACGCTAAGTGACGTTTGGCCTGGCCAGAGGAGCGTGGAACACGGCGCTGCAGGTGCGCCTCTTGTCCGAGCGTCCGTCACCTCTCACCCTCCAAAGTACTGCCTCTTCCGAGAGCACGCCCATCCCCGCCTACACCTGTCTGGACGGGCTGCGCGCCAGAAAGGCCACAGCCGTGTCAAACACGGTGGCCACAAATCGGCGTGTAACCAACTGGTGCGGCTTAGACATTGAGCGCGGCCTAACTCGGGCGCGAGATAGCGCGCTGGCGGCCGGACCACACAGCCGTTTGCCGCGCGCGGCGCCGTTAACGGCTGAGCGATCGGCCAGTTCGCTGACGGCGGCGAATTCCGGCGCAGCAAATCATATCCGAAATATCCCGGATAAGGCGAAAGGCTGGTCGGCCCCGCCGCCCGGCTCAGGCGGGGATCAGGCGAACAAATCGCCAGGGAAAATAATCCAATTTGGGAGGCGTCATAACGCAGCCGGCGAGCAGCGGGCAGCGTGAGCGTCGCTCGGGATGACAAATTGGATCTGTCAGGGCCTGGCCGCCGCTCCGAAGGTGTCGCGCCGCCGTCTGCGCAGGTCTGGAGGCCCGGCACCAGCCGAGACCCGCCGACAGTCCGCCCCGCGCACCCTCGCGTCCGACTCCGCCGAGTCCTCCACCTGACCGCGCGCCGACGACTGACGTCTGTTCGAAACGACATAATTGCGCGGGGCGTGTAACATCTGTCTGTCGCTGATGATCGCCCGCCTGCCGTGTCAGCGCTGACGGCGGCCGCGACAGCCGCCGGCGCTGACTCCGCGGCCGCGTCGCCAGGTACACAGGCGCCGTGTGAGCCGAGACTAAGCGGCCATCAGCGCGCGCCGCCGCTGAACTATGGGCGGCGTCGCTCATTTGGCGTACCATTTGGAACGTGGGGCGGACGCATGAACCGCCTCCGTTGCGTCGCACGAAATGGGACTCGGCGTCTTTTTGCGCGGTGAAAAGAGACGATTCCGAACACGCCCCATGCCTATTACGTTAACCGGCCACATAAGGTGCCACTTAGAAGACCCACGAGCTGTCACCTCCAGAATGTTTTCCAACCGCTCCAAGTACACGACTCCTGCGACACTCAAGCGCCGAGGCACGCCTGCCGCCCGGCGCCTTCGCCTCCGCACGCTGCCAGCGTCCGTAGCAGCCGGCCGCCGGTCGCAGGCCCGCTGTACTCACCGTGGACGGTGAGCCGCGCCGGCCGGCTGCGCCGTTCGCCGGCCACGTTGCGCGCCACGCACGTGTAGGCGCCCTGGTCGTGGTGGCGTACGTCCGAGATGACGAGCGCGCCGCCGGGCGCCAGGCGCAGGCGCCGCGAGCCGGCCACGTCCAGCGGCTCGCCGTTACGCCGCCAGGCGACCTCTGGCGGCGGATGGCCGCGCGGCGGATCGCAGAGCAGGCGCACCGTCTCCGCCTGCGCCACCTGCACGTCACGCGGCGACGCGCGAAACTCGTCCCGCAGTGCTGCAATGCAGGGACGGGCGAGGTTAGAAACATCAGAGACGGGGACGGTCAGACACATCACGGCCGGGGACGATCAGAGACGCAAGGCCCACGGACGGTCAGAGACACCAGGACCAGGGACGGTCAGAGACACCAGGGCCAGGGACGGTCAGAGACATCAGGACCGGGGACGGTCGGAGACATCAAGGCAGAAGACAGTCAAAGACATAAGAGCAGGAGACGGTCAGAGACACAAGGTCCGGGAACGGTCAGAGACACAGGGTCCGGGAACGGTCAGAGACACAAGGTCCGGGAACGGTCAGAGACACAAGGTCCGGGAACGGTCAGAGACACAAGGTCCGGGAACGGTCAGAGACACCAGGACCGGGGACGGTCGGAGACATCAAGGCAGAAGACAGTCAAAGACACAAGGTCCGGGAACGGTCAGAGACACAAGGTCCGAGAACGGTCAGAGACACAAGGTCCGGGAACGGTCAGAGACACGAGGTCCGGGAACGGTCAGAGACACAAGGTCCGGGAACGGTCAGAGACACGAGGTCCGGGAACGGTCAGAGACACGAGGTCCGGGAACGGTCAGAGACACGAGGTCCGGGAACGGTCAGAGACACGAGGTCCGGGAACGGTCAGAGACACAAGGTCCGGGAACGGTCAGAGACACGAGGTCCGGGAACGGTCAGAGACACGAGTGGTAAGGGAAGCTGGCAACGCAGGGGGAGGGGATGGGCCGGGGAAATGAACACGGGTAGTTAGGAACATGAATAGGGACAGTCAAAACGACAGGTGTAGTGACGGTCGCAAAGGCATTGGGACCACTAGAGACACTGCTTAGTCCAGCGACCGAGTCGTATGAGCATCTTACTAACAAAGCATGGCATAATGAACTTTTCAATGTTTTCTCAGCTTGAAAGTCATGAAAAAGTACTTTAAAAATTCCTCACACTTTGAAAAGGGACTTTGAAAAAAGTCCAGAGAGAAAAAGGACTTGGAAAAGAACGAAAGGAAGTCTGAAGTCCAGCGTCAAGCAATTAAATTAATTGCGGCATGGTAGAAATGAACAGCTTTGCGATCGGAGATCGAGCTAACAGAGCTTGCAGTGTGCTGTGCTGAGGTTGGCCTAGAGATGACATATTCGCACCACAGACACCCAGCCAGGTACTCGGTAATAATTTGAAAGTGCCATAGAAGGATGCCATGCCATTAGCTGTTTGAACATATAGTGAAGACAACAGCGAGCCCGTGATAGAGGTTTCCGCACCTTGTCAAAGAAATGTCATGCCTTTCGTTGGAACGGCGCCATCTTGGCACCGCACACCGAACTCTGGTTTTGCCTTTACTTGTGCGACGAGAGCAGCGCTCCAAACATTTTAGTTGCAAGAGCTTTAAAATATGACATTGCAAAACAGTGCAGCACAGCTGAAGTACACGTGTGTGCTATGGGTACAGAAATGCCAGCAGTTACGCAGTTCGGAAGAGCAGCGGCACCCTTTACGGAAGCGTAGCCCGCCTGACACCCAATACACTAAGTGGTTGATATATAAGGCAGCACATCCACTGCCAACGGCAGGCGCTCGGCACGGCGCGCGGCGACGCTTCCAGAAGAGTCTCTTTCCACCGCCGTAGCGTCGTATTTTTGGAGGAAAACAAAACTCATACCCACGCTGAAGTGCGTCTGGAGTGACGGAGGAAATGGGGTCATTACGGATAATCGGGGCTGTGCTGCACCCACTCCCTGGAGCTGAACGACTTGTTGCCATATTTTAAGGACCAATCTACGAGTAAGTACGGCCGTAAAGCATGACGAGATTGCTTGCGTACGTTAGTCACATGAAAAAGGTTTGTTGTAAGGGTACGGTCGGAAACTAACCATGTTAATAGGAAAGGACGATGGAATGGTTTCTCTATCTACCCTGTGCAAAATTACGGGGATATCAAGCATACCAGTTCCACTGCCGGGCCAGTAACAAGGGGCATCAAGAGCTGGCTCAGTGATAATATTGCGCGTGAACCCGTGATCGGCGTCATCACGGTCCGTGTGTTTAGATCGTGATATAACGCGATCAGTGCACGCGTAGGATCGTGATGATGAATTGGAAAAGTTAAGGTAGATTTCAGAGAAAGCTGTTTAAAATCTCCAAGTTATCGCACCGGCAGTGATAACAAAGAAGCTGTGATATTAGGATCTTTCCGAGTAATTATAGCCGCTACAGAGCGGATCAGCTTGAGGCAACATGTGCACGTGTTATTGATGCAAATGGTGACGCTTAACACCATTAATATGCTGATGGTTCAATACGACTGTACTTCTTTCGCCACCATTCACTTCACAGGCTGTGGTAACTATTCATCCAGCCCACAGATCGCCGGCCAAGACCTGGCTGGTGATGCCGTGGTCTCTGCCAAGTCCGCTAAAATATCACTTAAATCCAGGGATTTGAAGGGGCATGCATCACCAGCAGCGCACACCGCACTCCCGACATGCCTCAGAGGTGGCAGGAAGGTGGGAGCCCGACCATGGCTTGCCGGCTGCCCGCCGGCTGCCCGCGACACCTCGGTGCCGCCCGGTACCGCCGGCCGGACCCGGGAAGCCGGTGGGACGCGGGACGCCTGCGGGGCTTATGTCCCCCACCGTCGGGGGCCGCGCGGGTTTGGCCGGCGGCGGATCAGCTCGGCGATGGGCGATTCTCCGCGAGGGCGAGAGAGTCCTGGCACTGACAGGCAGCCACGCCCCGCTACATTGGGAGTCGGGACGGGGCGGCACCCGTCATCGATTGCGGCTGCTATCGAAGGGCCCGCGAGCTCGCCGCCCTCTAATTCGCATCAGTCTTAAACGCCGCGCGGCAGCTACGGCAAGCCTCGGCGGCGGCGGAGGAAAAGAGCGGAGGAAGACGGCAGGGAACGCGAAAAAACCGGGAAAGTGCCATCGGAAATTACGAAAAGGTTGTTGAAAGTTTAGGCAAGCGGCACACACGCGACAACAAGAACAGAGCGCTCGCAGTCAGACAAATCGCGACAAAGTGGCAATCCCCGGTGGAGCAGGTCATCTCCAACCCCCGACTCTTCCCAGCAGAGCGCTCAAATTGGGCCGTTTAGACGGGACGTGCCTGGGGTGGGTGCCAACCGGGACCGCGCGCTCCCGGTGCGGCGGATACGCGACCATTTATCGGCATCGACCGGAACAAACACCCTTTGGCCGCCGCACGGCGCTGTGTGTTTTCCAGGGAGCCCCGGTGTGGCCCGCGGCATGATTCACGGAAAGCCCGGAAAGGGACGAATTATCAGGGCCTTACCTGTGTTGTTCGACTATTTCCATCCCCAAATTTCCAGAAGCCGTATGCGGTCTTGCTCAGGTTACAACAACAACCACCGATGGCTGCCTGGGAAATACCCGACTTTCCTCTCCCGTTCCCACTGCACTGAGGCGTCGCCCCCCAGGCGGCCGTCGTTCGCCCCCCGCGAGGCCTGTCTGCTCAGGACTCCAGGAGACGCGGCCCGCCGCCGCCGGCCGAGGACGCCCGCCTCTCACAGCCGCAGCTGGCCAACTTGTTAGCCCAGGGCGTCAGCGGCGCCGCACAATATTCCCCTCCGAGCGGCACTCCCGCGCCCGAAATAGGCGGCCGTGTTTTCCGATCGCTGATGCGTTTATTTACCGTCGGTAGGCCCTCTCGGCCACTATGAGCGCGGCAGATGTTTGGGCCGCGGAACCGGGCCAAAACAGAGCGCCGCCGGCACGCCGACCGCACGGCTAACATTTACCCGAGCCATTGTCGGCGGCCAGCGTCGGCGTCGGCGTCGGCGTCGACGGCCGACGCAATCGAGGCCTCCGCCCCCACAACGGTGAGAGACTCAGCGCCGCGAAGATAAGGTTGAGAGATCGCCCGGGGCATGCGCGCGTTCCTGCAATGAGCCACGGTCGTGGCGAGGTACTGGTGCGCGCGCGGATGCATCGAAATGAGTGACGGCCGGACTGACAACGCCGTAGGACATGCAAGGGACGTACGGCCGACTGGTTGGGTCGCGGCGGCACCGGAGAACAAGCACCTCGACAGCCCGGATGTAAATCTTCAGACACTGTACGGTCACCAGAGCTCAAGCTGCTACCATACCGATGAAGGATACTGCAGCATTCTGCAAGGACGTGGTGGATCAACACTGGGTCGACAACCCCTGGTCGACAGGTTGGCACATGCTCTCGTCGTGGTCAAACTGAATTCATTGAAGCATTGTTTCAGCCGTTCTGGACCATATTGTGCCGATGCAACTCTCGCGCCCGATTAGTCATTTCGAGATGCTACCCGTCGTGACTGTAACGCGTCGGACTTTGTCAGGGGATCATTGTTCCGAAGGGTTTAACTCCCAAAGCTAGAGCACGGGTGATATAATCTGTCAACTCCGAAAGCCAGAAAAAAGTGATCTCCTGTTTATGATCCAGGGAAAGCATAGCATAGGGCAAATGTAGATTTCAGTACGCCACATAATTCACAATTTCATGCAAATATTGGTGGCTCCCTATATCCCACGATTCCTTGCCTCATTGTTTCTAATCACCCACCACGTTCTGTATTTCACGCGCTTTTCTGTTTATCGTGTGTTCTGGACAACCGCAAACAGTTAATGTTCAGCTCCCTCTTATTCTGCAGAATGAATGACCCTGAACGTTCTCCGCATTCCACACCCATAATCTGAAACTCCGTCGATGCCACCCAAACACACGGCTCCGTTTCTAAAGGAATCTGAAGGGTGCCCGCTGTGATACGATCCTGGGCATCCGTTACAGGTCATATAACTTCGCGCGGGCTGTTGTACCGAAGTCCTGGGTACCCGAGGGTCGCGAGAGTCTGTCGCAGCCACAAAGCCTCGCCCCGGGCGGGCAGGGTATGGTTGAAGAAGCTGACATGAATGCATTCCTGTTAGACTTGTCCACCGATGTGTGTTAACTGCATGCCTTAAACACATCAGGGCCGCTATAGGATACACACGCTGCTTGCCCCAACACCAAGCCCACGCACGGAGCGAGGGGTGACAATTGTAGCGCACTGCGAGTTCACCTCGCATTGTAATTGTCTGATTTTCTCAGCAACCAGCAGGGCTTGATAAGTACCGCCTTTCACACAAATCACCACTTGCCCGTACCGGCAGTCACGGTAAGCTGTCAGTCGCGGAAACCGTTTCTGTGCAACCCGTATCGGTCCGATACCAGCTGCTGGTAACGAGATACCAGCTGCTTGTAACGAGATACAGAGTCTTGCACCTGCGCCGCACAAAGTCTCCCGCCACAACACCCTACAGACTGGGACATTGTCCGTTTAATCAGCGACCGACAGTCGACTGTTCGTCACTGTCTAAGCGACCGCAGCCGGCGCCAGCGTCCGAGAGCGCTGACAGCAGGTCAGTCTGCGGCCAGCGGCCAGTCGGCGATTGATGACCCTGCCCGGCCTGCAGAAGACGCGCCGCTGCGCCACCGCCGAGCCGCCGACGCGCCAGCGCCAGCCGACGCAGCGCTGTTCACGACTGCAACCGAACCGCCAACGCGCCAACGCCAGCCAACGCAGCGCTGTTCACGGTCGTGACGGAGGGTGCTGTCGATTGTGTTTACTAGCGTCGTATGTTGGTGAGTTGCAAGGCCTGTGAGGGGAGCCTTACGTCGAGAGCAAGGGCAAGGCCATCAATTTCAATCCGCCTCCGCCGGGAGCTGATCGCCGCCAACCAGCCAATCAGGACGAGCGCGCCCTCTGTCGGTGGCCGCACACTGAACACATCGTCTTAACATGCTCTGAACAGCGAGCGAGCGAACGTTGCGATTTGCTGTCCAGACCAATCGTTCTCCGCGCGGCAACACGGGTAGGCTGTACCAGCGGCGGTCGCCACTCACCTGCAACGTCGAGCGTGGCGTTCCTGCTGCGGGCGGCGCCGTGCTCGTTGTGCGCCTCGCACCAGTAGGTGCCGGCGTCGTTCTCCTTCCTGTTCTGCACCACCTCGACGAAGTAGAGCGAGCTGCCGTGGAGGAAGAAGCGCTGCGGTCCGGCTTCGGCCGCCAGCGGGCGGCCATCTTTGAACCAGCTGACCTGCGGCGGCGGCTCACCCTCGGCTTTGCAGTTCAGGGTCACCGGCTGACCCTTGGCCACCAGCTCGTCGGTGGGGTGCTCTGTGATATGAGGCCGGACGCCGCCAGGCCCTGTGGAGAAGGCCCGGCTGCGTTGACCGACGGTGCCAACTTGTCACGCGTTATCACATTGTCGTAACGGGTCGAGTTCATTACAGACATGACTTGGCAACGATCATGATGTCGTTAGGCTGTTGCTCATACCTCTTAGAGTGCCTGTTCTACTTCCAACTTCAAGGTATGACGAAATAGTGTGCAGCTTATTGAAATAAAAAACAATCCACTGCCGGTTCTTTCAAATGCTCGAGGTGTGTACGGTTTATATAGGTCACACTGGACCATTTCCAAATTTCAGTTGTAAGCTTCAACTGAAAGCCTCCCAACTGCAACTTCCCAACTCTCCCACAAAACATGGTGTTAAAAGCCGTCATTCGCTACGAAACATCCACTGCCACGCTAAAAAACAACGTACAATGTTCACATGCTGTTTCGACATGTTTGCTCGTGTTTCAGGCGAGCCAAACAGCATTGGATGTTCCATCATCTTTGCAGACCTTTAATCTGATTGGTGTTCCAGTCCAGACAACATATTTCAGATTCACTGTCAACACACGACCCAAAGCAAACAAGATTTGCACGCACGCGTCTGCCATCTCAGAAGTGCCGAAATTGGGGCACGAGCCGTCTCCAAAACAGTGGGACGCCCCGGTGGTGAATGCGTCATCAGACGCATTTCGCTTCCACCACGCAAAAACCACGCAGCACTCTTTTTGTTCATTCGCCCATTTGTCAACATCCACATGATACACATTCACCGCGTGCGCGCACGTGATCCGGAGCCGGGGACGTGAGGGTCACAACGCACCGGCGCCGAGTAGAAGAGTCACGCGCCTACCCCCCCCCCCCCCCCGGCGCGGAACGAGAGGGGGGGGGGGAGTGCGCCACCCATTGGTCGCCTGGTGATAGTTCGGTGGCGCCCAGACGGCGAGCGAGCATGGTATCTCAGCCGACATCAGCGCAAATAGCTGAGACAAGCCGGCCACCGGGAGACGGCTTATTTTTCCTGACACGTCCGAGCCGGCCGGGGGGCAGGCAGGGGAGGGAGCGGATGAAGACGCGCCGGGGCCGCCCAGGGCGGCCGGCTGTCGGGCCGCTGAGTTATGAGCCGATGGCGGCGGTCCGGCGGCGGCGGAGAAGGGCCACCTGCGCAGCCACCCCCGCCGGCCGCTAAACCCCGCCTCATGTTTCATCGACGCCTCATTGCGCCGAGCGCGCGGCAAACAACGATGCGGCAAATTGGCCGCAGCGGTGACGATCGCGGCGCGGACGACGGAAGCGGCGCGCCCTCTCAATCACCGCCGTTAGTGTGACGGCGCGCCGCGCGCCGGCCGCCTGGCAGCGCGCCGGCGACGCCGCTAACGAAAGACGCACCGTCTAATGAAGACAATCAGCGGCCCCATCTGCGACCGAGAGTTGCGCTCAATCAGGCGCGCACACGGCGGCTCTGTGTCTGTGACGGCTGGGGCCGGCCCGGCGGGCGGAGGCTCAGCCGGCGCGGCGCCAGCTCCACCGCGGCCCGACGGCCTGCCACTGCCACTTCCGTCAGCTCGAACGGCGCCGCGAGCTCGTCAGGCGCCAGCTGAGGCCTTCAGAGGCGCGCCAGGCGCCGGTCAGGACAGGGACGCCGGTCAGGACAGAGGGCGCGGTCTGCGCGACAGGACGGGGTCGTCCATCAAGCGACACCGAGCGCACGCGCGGTGCCGGGGACCGAATGCAGGCACGCGAACGAACCCACCGGAAGAGCAACGTCACCCGGCCGGCGGGCGACGCAAGAGTACAGACGGCACCACTGGATGCCCTATCCATCAATCAGAGCTACTCGCTGCCGCCTGGGGAGCAGCCGGTCCGGCCCGCAAACTCGGTCATGGAACGATCGAGTGTGCCTAAACGGTGGCGCTGAGTGAGAGGTGCACAGGACACACAGGACACCATGAACTATCACGAACAGAAGCGCCGAACACCGCGTGCGGATGATAGGGAGCGGTCGCGGCGCTCGGCCGGCGTCCTTTCTGCACACGATGTCAGGAGACAGACAACGGAGCAGCCCAGGCGTTGAGGGGGCTAACTGTGCCACCGGTCGTCGCGCCCGGCCGGCAACGTCGCTGCTGCCGCCGCCGTCGCCGCCGCCAGCCGATCGTCGATAAACAGCTCTAATCAGAACAGCCTTGGCGGCGACGTCTCCCCTCGCAGGGCGCCATCGATCGTCGCCGTTCGCGGCTCGCGCCCGCCGGCCGGCTCGCGCTGACTCCTCGGCTACTGGCCACCGCCGCCGCCGACGGTTAGCCCTGCCAGAGTCGGTAGGATCAGGAGCTGAGAGCGAGGGTGGGAGCGGCGCTGCCTCCTCGGCTACTGGCCACCGCCACGGCCGGTGGTCAGCCCTGCCCGAGTCGGTTGGATCAGGAGCTGAGAGCGAGGATGGGAGCGACGCTGCCTCCTCGGCTACTGGCCACCGCCACGGTCGGCGGTCAGCCCTGCCCGAGTCGGTGAGATCAGGAGCTGAGAGCGAGGATGGGAGTGACGCTGCCTCCTCGGCTACCGGCCACCGCCACGGTCGGCGGTCAGCCCTGCCCGAGTCGGTGAGATCAGGAGCTGAGAGCGAGGGTGGGAGCGACGCTGCCTCCTCGGCTACTGGCCACCGCCACGGCCGATGGTCAGCCCTGCCAGAGTCGGTGAGATCAGGAGCTGAGAGCGAGGATGGGAGCGACGCTGCCTCCTCGGCTACTGGCCACCGCCGCGGTCGGCGGTCAGCACTGCCCGAGTCGGTTGGATCAGGAGCTGAGAGCGAGACCGGTGAGACGTTCCACGTGGGCAGGGCTCAACAGCTGGCCTGTCGTTTACTGATTCAATTTCGTGGGATAGGACACAGACAGCTAGTTATATTTACTGGAATATGTCGAGCCGCGGATAGGGACACTTTGACCTTGAAAGCGCCATGCTCGGTGCAAGCATGGCGCTTGCAAGGGCAAAGCCGCTTGTCTTCCAGTTTTTCAGCAGTATCAATTCTTAGGGTGTGATATATTTTGAGAATATTAACATTTCATTGCAAAACTTAAGGACGCGAGTGCAAAACTAGCAAAAGCCCACTAGTAGGCTGGTCTAGCAAAAGCCCACCAGCAGGCTAGTCTAGCAAAAGCCCACCAGCAGGCTAGTCTAGCAAAAGCCCACTGGTAGGCTAGTCTAGCAAAAGCCCACTAGCAGGCTAGTCTAGCAAAAGCTGACAAAAGCCGCCTGACTTATAAACGAAGCAGCGCTTAAACACCTCTATTAATGATTTAGTAATTCACATTTGGACATGACGGGTTCAGAGTTCTTATGCTGAGTTACTGACCTTCGATATTACTGGAGGTAATGACTGAATGACGCTTTGTAGCAAACGTTGGCTGCATTAACAGCATTAGACGTAGACATATAATGCCGAAAAGTCATGAGCTAAAAGCATACCTTGCTTTCATTCACTGACGTTTGAACCATAGAATGCTTTGGTGCGAGGAAATCTTTGAGCATATTAAACCTGATAAAAAAGAAGTCCCAAAATGCTGTCCACCCGTGTAACACCCTTCACAAATATGTTTTCAGCATACCACTGCCCATACAAATGAACCATGTACTGACATCTATATAGATCATCAAATAAGCACCTTGGTGAACCCACGAGCACAGGGCTATTCATCTTACGGCTGCTTCACCCGCCCTAGGTAGGGAATTGCGCCTATGTTTTAGTATCTCAGCCCATTTAAACCAGGCACACCCAAATCCCGACTGCCCCCCACGTGCCAGCTCTAACCCAGGTAAGACGCTCCAGCTCAGACAACGTCCGCATGGACGGAGCAGCGATTCCCCCGCCCTAATGCGCCGGCACGACACTGCAGCCGGCCCGGCGACCGCAGCGGCACCAAAGCTGGCCAGATAACTGGCACCCGGAAGCTGACCACATCCGGTCGGCTGCGGGGACGCCGGACGGGTCTGGTCAGACCGTCGGCTGAGCCGGTCTAGTCACCGGACCAGTCGTTCCACGAACGGCACGGAGTCGGCGCAGGACGCTGGAGCGTCCCGCCTGTGCCGCGTTCGGAGGCGTAACGGCCGGCTGTGGATGGCTGGACATGGCCGAGAACCGCTCCACAGCCCCGGGCTGGCCTCGTCAGTCAGCGCAACAGCGACTCAGCTCGCGGCTGGGCGCTCGGCTCGCCCCCGTACTGGGAACTGGCTCACTGCAGAACTCTGCGTGCCACTGGCCTCCAGACGTCCAATTTCGCTGATGAGTTGTCGGCCTGCCTGTTACGCGTGATCGAACAAAGAGTACTTGCTTCAGGCAAAGTACTAGTTCAAGGCCTTATTGCACCGCTGAAGATTGGCGCACAGAGCAAAGTTGTTCAAGCCTTTCTTGAATGTCTTCGTTATGTTCCCGATGGGGTAGTTTGCGATTTATTATTTACAAGATTGGTTCCACCGGCCATTGATTCGACTGATTTTCCAGCTGAATGAAAAGCAAACCGCTGCCTTTTCTTTCCGTTTCCAACTTGCACTGCTTCTCACTACCGTTAGTCACTTAGGGTGAAGCGCAGGGGCAGTGATGGCAGAACATAATCAAACTGAAATAGTTATAGTATTCAGAACCAGCCGAATCACCACAAAGAATATCTGGGGTACATACATGGGTTCCAACTCGTAACGAGTGCATCAAGAAGTGTCCTGAAGCAGGTTTGATTGATTGGTCACAAGTGATCTATTGGTTGCCAGGTTTGACAGCGCCTGCCGCACAATACGTCAGATGTAAGAACGGGGCAGCCGAGGGGAACGTTTTCCGCCCACCTTTCGCGGGGGCTTAACGTAAACCTAGAGCGATGCAAGGATAAACTGATTTCAGCACTTGTTCCTCTCACAACCCAACCCTTGTTTCTGCACCAAACCCGCCGACGAAAAGCATGCCTTTATCGCCAGCACTTGTTTGCAAACTATGAGAACCGAGTCCCTCACGACAGACAACTTCAGCTACATCGCGGTCCGACACAGCTGCAGACCTGCGTCAGATCGACACATGCCGGTAACGGACGCGCGCGCTTCCCAGGCCGGCGCCGCCCCTGAGAGAAAGCCAGCGGACCAGCACGCCGCCGGGGAGGTTCCGCTGCACGGACTGTCTGCGGTGGAGCGCAGCCCACCGCCGCGGCGGGGGCCGACTTCTCCCGCGATGCCCCGGCCGCGCGACGAGCCGCTGCATGGCCAGACCGCCGCTACATGGCCAAACCGCGGCTGCATGGCCAGACCGAAGCTGAATGGCCAGACCGCGGCTGCAGGGCCAGACCGAAGCTGCATGGCCAGACCGCGGCTGCAAAGCCAGACCGCCGCTCCATGACCAGACCGCCGCTGCATGGCCAGACCGCCGCTGCATGGCCAGACCGCCGCTGCATGGTCAGACCGCCGCTCCATGACCAGACCGCCGCTGCAGGGACAGACCGGCGCTGCATGGCCAGACCGCGGCTGCATGGACAGACCGCGGCTGCATGGACAGACCGTGGCTGCATGACCAGACTGCGGCGAAACCGCCCGGGCCCCTCGGCCATTTTGTGCGCTGGTCAGGCCAGCCCTTTCCGCAGTTTGCGCACTGGTTTGTCCGTACCTGTCCGCAGGGTAGGAGTGACCTGTACCGGGCAGCCATCCCCAATAGGGATCAGGCGTGGGAGTGGGTCCTCTGATGGGGTCCTAGCGTGAGCATGCGGTCATCAGGCCGTCCTGATCGGTGCTCCAGCAGCGACGCGCCCCACAATAGCCCCGCCGCAGCCGCCGTCTTCCGCACAGCGCCGGCCGCGCCACTCGCTTGTGACAGGCTGACTGCAAGCACGACATGGCCAGCACACAATGCACGCCACTCCGGCGTTTTTGACCAGTGTTGTTCCGCGCGCCCTGCGGCATGATGCGGGCTAATACCAGAGCAGTTTTGGTGTCACTACAACGCTGACGGCACGCCGCCCGGACCGCATGAGAGGCGCGTGTCTGCGGCCTCGAGGCCGAGCGCCCGTCTGCTGGAGCTGCAGCGGCAACACACACGCCTGCAATCTGAACAGCCACGCGCCACCCGCCCGACTTGGAGGCGTTCGGCGGTGCGTGGGTCGGGTTTCGCGGAAGGGGTGTGTCCCGGCGGCGCGTCACGTACAGAGGCGGCGGCAGCCGGCGGGCGCCGCGAAACCGGACTCCGCCACTGCGCCGCGATCAGAGCCGGCTCCGCAGATCAGGCGTTGGCCGGTGACGGACCGAAAGTAACGGCCACGGCTTCTGCACTGCCCGCGCGTGTTGATTACGGAAGGAATGAGGTGCCGCCTCGAACTGAAGCTGATGACGCATGAATTAATTACGGCGAGGTTGACGTGATGAAGCTGCAAGTCGTTGATGGTGAGATACTGGTAGTGACTATAAAAGTGAGTGAAAGAAAATACTTGTGTTGTTTGGGTAAGATATTGACATCCACTTACAAATATATCGTTTCGCACAGAATATGTGAGGATCTGTCTACAGCACCGTGTGATAACACACAACACCGTGTGATAACACACAACACCGTGTGATAATACTATGCGCCAGACGCCTGCCGCAACTCACGGCACAAATTGAAGCCAAGACTTAGCAGAACACACAATAACATCCAGAACTTCACTTATATGTAAATTAATGCTTCGTTTTGCAATTGGTAAGACCAACGCTCGCAGCGTCGGTAGCTGAAGTGCCGTGATCATCGCCATTGCAATTTGGGAGGAACTGTAACAACCAAACCGCCGCTCAAAGGCCCTGCCAGAAGCTTCCGATTATTTCTTTCGAGAGTTCACACACCAATCAAATACGCATCAGCCTTCTGCGTGCAAACCGACGTCACATTTATTCCAGCTGTCGTGGCTCCCATGTCGTGACTCTCCCGGCAGCCGTGCCTATCCATTCCGACTTACCGGTCGGAATCATTACTAATCCTGATGCTTACCGGTCTATTAACGTGCCACCGTTTGCACCGCATATTGCGGTGTGAGATTGCCTCTAAAATACTGATAGTTCTGAGGCCGTATTACCCCAGCTTACATTCAAATGCACATGAGGGTGTGTGAACTTCGATTAACGATTACGCGGAAATTGTTCAGAAGCTCAGAGCTTGTGGAGCATGTAACATTCCTCAGCGAAATGAATGTCCGACCCGCCAGCACGCGGATTCGGTGGAATACCATCACTACGCAAGAATGTCAATAACAGGTTGCTACACGAGCTGGTGCGGGATATCCGTGCCCGACCGTGCAGGCCGCCAGCACGCTTGTGCATTACCCCATCTACCGTACGTTGATGGGGGCGCATCGTAAGGCCATGGGATGGGCAGGAGAACAGAGAGGCAGCGGGGTCGCTAAAGCAGCCGCTCCGCACAGTGTGTGGCAAGTTGTCCTGAAAGGTCAGGTCTGCATGCTGTGGTCGGAACTTATTTGTCCTTATCTACCATTGTCTTGGATGGGCATCAACGGCACCAAGCTCCGAACAAACGGACAAAATGTGATTTCCAGCTGCCATTAGACACATGCATTGTATGTGTTTAATGCACACTTGCATGCACACTTCAGAAGGGGAGTTGCAGACCCATCCCATATGAATGACAAACTTTTCATGCAAAGCACGGACAGACCGCACGAGGCCCAAATGAGTGATGTGAAACACCCCGAAAAGCTGATCACTTGGCGTGCCAAAGTGAATGCAGAGGAACATAATTATTTGACACATCTGGGACACACGCGATACCTGTGATCCCTGGGAATTGATGGTGCTTTTCTCACTGTCTAATATATCAGGGTGACCAACAGCGTTTCCTAAGGCATCACACACTTTTGAGAGACGATCAATGACGCCTAAGGTGGGGATTCATGCTTCTCATTATTTTCGGGGGTGCGAGAAATCTCTTAGACTGAAAAGGGTTTCTGGACAAAGGAGTTTCGTGACATTTTACATAAATCTGCTACTGAAGGAAGGCCATGGCAAATCTAAAAAAAACACTTCAGCTACAAATGTACAAGGCTCCTGACACTGGAGACTCTCCGGACAGAAGGAAGTTCTCGAATCTGCGAGTCGCAACCCCACATATAAAGCTGTCTGCATCATGCCACCAGCTGTACCGCAGGCGCCATTTGTCGCAGAGAAGATGAAACTATGCATACACCCAGACACGAACACACACCCTCATAGCTGACAATGACAGAAGCATTGATATTTCTGGCTGCAAGGACGTGGACTTCCCTTTTGAGTCAGAGGCCCACATAATAACCCAGCATCCTGTCCATGGCGATGTCGGCCGTGCCATCCGCTGGCATACATTACCAGCAGCGCTACCAGCTGCGCACTCCATTTCCGAATTGTTTAATTTACATTCCTATGTTTTAGTGCGCTTGCCAGTACTGACTGCACATCGTTTTGAATGTCATGTACTGACACAGCGAGTGTTCTTCAGGGGTGGTAGCTGAATGACGCATACACAGGTACGCGCTTGAGACATGTATATGGAATCTATGGTAACCGCGGCGTAACCGAGGCATATGAATTGTATGCGAATTACGGTTGTTGCAGCACTAGTTAGAAGTGGGGAAAATCGGAACTAGCTGGCTCGCCTTTTATTTGGTAGATTTTACTGTGTCGCTTTTCACGGTGCTGATAGTCTGTTTGCTTCATTGCGCCGAGGAAATATTTGGCGCAAATAGGGAAATCAGTCTTCACAACTATCTGGGCATTAAGACTGCGCTTAGTAGCAAATGAGGAGCAGTTGCCTAGAGCTATAAAAAGTGGTACTGTTTGCCAAAGTATGCACAGGATGCCTTCGTGACAATGATCTCTAGCCCGAGCCGTGGCATCATAACTCAAGGACGCTTTCAGACAAAGCCCTCGATGTTAAGGGCCGGGACTTAAGGCTGACCGGGGATCACACCCCCTGAATGACATGGCCTTCGTATGACGCCGACACCTGGGGGCTGAAATATACCCTTGGCGAAAGCTGCACTATGTGACAGGTAGCACAGCTCACCACTGTCAATGGGCTCAAAATGATCCGCAGCATGACAAATATTCATCTATCAGTATTACCACATCTCCCGTATTTGTAACATACCAAAAGCGACCTTCGCAGATCCAAACCGACAGCAAGTTAAGCCGTTACGTATACTCATAAATACCTTTTCATGTCTTTGATGTTTTCAGACGAAAACGACAAGTTTACATGAAAATCGGCCATGCCGTCTTAATAAACATGTCATTTAGCAGTTCAGCTAAGACACAGGCGCCCATAACATGTGGACTGTTGTGTTGGTTTACAGACGTGACGGGACTCACCTGCCGCAGATCCCGTCAGCACCTGCCCTGTCAGGCCTACCACCACAGCCGTCCACGCCAGACGCGCCCCCATACTGGCTGCCAAGCGCTTGTGAGCCTCTGCTGTCCGCACGCTCTGGCCGTCAGGTCACATGTTCCGAGATATGGCGAGTTGATATGTGCGAGTCCGGAGCGTCGCGCGGCGCGCCCCCCTTCCAGCGTATTGCGACCGGTACTGGCCGGCCTCCCCCGCCGGGATCGAAACCGGCCCTCTCCGGCGCAGATGGCAGCACTGGGCACGCGCGCGGTCCGGCCGGCACCGGAGGCGCCGCCCCGGTCCGCGGGCGACGCCGAGCCGCCAGGTCACAGGGCACCGGGCCACGCGGGCTCAATCAGCGGTGCCGCATAACTGCGCAAACGCACCTGAATGATCATCGATCGCTTCCGGTTTCGTGTAAGACAGGTGCGAGGCGGAAATGAGGTGGTGCACGTGATGAGCGCGAAAGAAATGCTCCTGAACCCATGTGTGCTGCCCGGAAAGTGCTGCTGCTCACTAAGTCTGGGCATCTCCGACATAAATTACATGTCAGAACTCAGGTAGCATGGCGAGCGCGTGTTCACGCTTCCGATGCGCGCCACAGGCTATACAGCTGAAATCTGGCTCCGATGCCCCAGACGCATCCTAGATGGGTTGTTAAGGCCAAGTGAGTCGCTTAGAGTCTGAAACAGAGAACGCTCTTCGTGAATGGTTCGGGCGAGTCGGTTCATTGCCGTTGGGGATCATCAACACGGTAGCCGGCTTCAACTGCGGCGAAGAAAACGCTGCCAGCCGTTAAGCATGTACGCCGTAAGTTCCCACAGTGCCACCAGCCAGGGAAAACCGCAGGCTACGCGTAACCACCGCGAGCACAGTGGCTGACCCACTCGGGCTGGTGACTTGTCGGGAACACAACGCTGATGACCGGGCTGACAATTTAGGATCGACACAGAATTGAGAGACATCTGCAAAATGTCCGCATTTGCTTACGAGGAGTCTAGAATAATGCGACGAAAACTGGGGCTAGAAGCTTTATCTAGATGGCTTTTAACTGGCAACAAAAAACTATAGTGGGACACGCGTTGTTTCTTGGACAAACTCCTCCAACGAGTCTGCATGGTTGTATATAATGCAGTTTGATCACAGTTTGCTGAGCCTGCCCTACGATTCTCGCGACTTCAGTACAGAGGAACTAAAATGGAAGCTCTGTTGACATCTGAGACCAAGGGGCTCTTTGAAGTCAGAGCCTGACGACCAACGCCATATCCCCCGGGCACGCTCCAAAAACGGTACTCAGAAACCGCAGTTTGCTGGTGAAACGTGCTCAGCAACGCAACACAATCCTCCGCGAGTGAGGTTGTCGTTACCACATCAGTATAGTCCCATCCCCGGGGGTGGGTATCATCCTGGGGAGGCGGCGGACTCGCGTCAATACTGCATGCTCTCGGCAACGCAAACAGATCGAGATGCGGCTTGTCCCCGAGCGCCAAGATGTCTGCTAAATACATACTGACTGATTGATGCATATAGATCAGGGCTTATCGAGAAGAAGAGGTAGGGGAGAGCGAGAACGTGAATGAGGAAGTAAGGAAGTGGAGAATACAGATGGGGTATACATAATGGGAGGTTGAGGTAGAGGAAGACGTAGAGAAAGAGAGAGAAAGAGAGAGAGGGGGAGAGAGTGGAAGAGAGAGAGAGAGAGAGAGAGAGAGAGAGAGAGAGAGAGAGAGAGAGAGAGAGAGAGAGAGGAGAGAGAGAGAGAGAGAGAGAGAGAGAGAGAGAGAGAGAGAGAGAGAGAGAGAGAGAGAGAGAGAGAGAGAGAGAGAGAGAGAGAGAGAGAGAGAGAGAGAGAGAGAGAGAGAGAGAGAGAGAGAGGAGAGAGAGAGAGAGAGAGAGAGAGAGAGAGAGAGAGAGAGAGAGAGAGAGAGAGAGAGAGAGAGAGAGAGAGAGAGAGAGAGAGAGAGAGAGAGAGAGAGAGAGAGAGAGAGAGAGAGAGAGAGAGAGAGAGAGAGAGAGAGAGAGGAGAGAGAGAGAGAGAGAGAGAGAGAGAGAGAGAGAGAGAGAGAGAGAGAGAGAGAGAGAGAGAGAGAGAGAGAGAGAGAGAGAGAGAGAGAGAGAGAGAGAGAGAGAGAGAGAGAGAGAGCGAGAGAGAGAGAGAGAGAGAGAGAGAGAGAACACATGGTGAAGAAAAGGGAGAAAAAGGAAAACAGTCGAGCACTGGAATAAAGATGCCGATACGAAATTCAGAGGCAACGCAAGAAACATGAAGATAATAATTATGCCGGCACGGAGCGGTCATGATGGGACGTTGCGTGATTTGAGCAGGATTATTTAGCATTGTTAATGTAACATCCGTGGCAAAACATTTGCTGCTCAATGGAACCGAACCGCCCTTCGCTTGGGTGGTCAAGTCAGGTGTTCTGGTAGCAAGCTGTACTTTGCAAGGCATGCATTCCTATGTTATCCGTACAAAGTACCCGAGCAAATTCATTGTAAAGAGAAGAAAACCCACTGACCGCTGTGCAGGGAAGCTGCAGACCGTCAATGCACTAACAAGCCCGAGCCGCCTCCTGTTCGGTTGAGAGACGCTGCAGGCGTGTGGGTGACCGGGCAGCCGGCGGGGCGCCCGGGCAGGGACGCGCCGCTGACTAAGCCGGGCCCGCATCAGCCGATCGGCACGCTGCCGGTGGGCGAGCGCCGCCGCTCGGGGAGAGCAGCATTGATTGAGCTATCCGTCTGTGGTGGCGGCCGAGTTTTATGGCGTATGGCGGCGGCGGCGGCGGCGGCCAGGTGTGACTCAGGACCCTCTCCAAACCAACTGGAGACGGCACCGTCGGCACGTCGGCGTCACCTCCTGAGGTCAGAGGAGGCGCGGCGGCTCGGGGCGCGGCGCCGACCCGCTCTGGGGCGGCTGCGGCCGCTGTAAGGTCAGCGGTGGAACGGTGTGGTAGTTGGCGATCTGGCCATGGCTGCCAGGCCTGGTCTCTGGGACTGACGAAGAGTTGTGTGGTGGCTGACGTTGTAGGCACTGCTGTTGCTCAGCGGTGGGAGGTACTGGAGCCCAGACAAGCCTACAGAACACTTTGTCTTTTAGAGAATGGAGATATTGCTTGTCACCCATATATATCACTGCGCTGATACTTAGATACGGTAACCACAGTCTGTACTTGATATGCAAAATAAAGACCTTCAGCTTCCGTTGTTTCGGCATTATGAGTTCAACGCTCTAAAATTGAGTTAGCGGCCTTCAATATACCCAAAGGTACTGGTTATTCGGCGTCGTAGTGCTAACTAAAAATCATATTGAAGGCACTGAACATTTCGACATCGTTTAACAACGTCGTCAAACCCATTTCCAGCCATTATGCAACCAATACAATGTCGTTCAACCAGTGCATTCTGGCATAATGGAGGTCGCTAACTCAACATCAATGCCACCCTGAAGGCATGTTCAAAGGAAACCCCTCAGTGCTTACCACGATGCTAATTCTTACGTCACTGATCCATATATAAAACATTGAAACTGAAAACCCTTCGCCCCTAGCGCCTACAAGACGAGCTTCATAAATGTTGTTTGCATTTGTACGTTTGTGAAGTTGGCACCATATCGCACCGTTTTAATCACTGCGAGCTAGTCACACCACAGGGTCACCACATATCCTGGATCGCGCTAACCGTGAGCTGTTGCAGACGGATCTCCGAGGGGCGCACCCTAACCCTGGTCACATCGCTGGTCAATCCATCGCAACCCTGCGCCGGATACGCTTTTGACACCGCAACTATTGCAATGGCCGCACATTAAAGAGTGCGTCACAGGCTTGAAGGGCATTTCATCACCTCTTATCAGTAATGCCTCAGGCGTGCTGAGAGCCGCAGATTTGCACCAGCGTCAGCTGTCGGCTGCGTCTACTCTGACAGGCTTCTCACGACATACGTAGGTGACAAATCGCTGTCGCCACCGAGATGGTCGTTGCATACATTTCAGCACATTCCACTTGGAAGTCTACGCCTCACCTTTCTGCTTCTGTATGCGAGCTCCCTCCCTGACCGTTACTTGCGAGCCATCCCAGCGAAGGGCGGCGGACGGCGCTGGCAGGCGTTCGGCAGAAAAGGAGTGCCACTGCTGGACCGGACGCAAAGACAATCCTTTCTCACACAAACGAGCAGGCGAACATGCAATCGTGACGTGCAGGTATGAAAGCGCATGTCCTGCTCCTGGCCTGAGCTAGGTCAAGGTCACAGCTCATTTATTTTACGTGTCAAACAATGCATCCCGCTCTAACCGACCGATGGCCGTGCGCTCGGGTGGGTCATGTGGGCCGTGCGCTCGGGTGGGTCGTGTGGGCCGTGCGCTCCGGAGGGTCGTGTAGGCCGTGTGCTCGGGTGGGTCGTGTGCCACGACCAGCCGCGCGCATGTTTGTATCGCTCCGGCGCAACATGCATACACGTTGTGGATTGGTCGGAGGGATTCGTTTCGTGCTTCCTACTTGCCTCTCGGATGGCCTCTCGCCTTCGGCGCTTGATCGAGTTAATGTCCGTGATGACCAGACGATCTCAGCATGCCGAGTAACCAGGCGCGCTGTGAGAGGCTGGAAGATCAGCCGGCACGATCCCGTATCAGCATGCTCAGTGGCCAGGCGCGCTGTGAAAGGCTGAAAGATCAGCCCGTGTGATCCCTTGTCGTGGGGCATGCAGGATGCTATGATGTGGCTGTGCGTTGCTATGGTGAGAGCAACAGTGTCTACAAAGCACTTTCCATGTGTCCGTGCTTGGCCTATTTTCCGACAGTTGTATTCATGCAGTCGTTCGTAGTCTGTGTTCTCGCCGTCCTCGTGGCCTGACGTCGTGCTGCTTTCAGGGGCTGTCTCATGACATTTGCATAAAACTGTGCCGCTGTCACGCAGAGACCTACGTTCTTGACGTGATGTGAAGCCTGTGTTCGTTTCGTGTTTCGGGGGACTGTGCTCTTGCCGATTTCCGAAATCTGTGCTCGTGCCCAGCCTTAAGATTCTGTGCTCGAGTCGTGATCAAGGGCCTCTCGTATTGGGGAGCTATATTTTCGTATCTTGCTTGGGAGTTTGCATCGTCGTCCGAGGTTTGTTTCTGTGTCTTACTCAGGGGGTGAGAACTCGGAACAGGGGAAGCGCCATAAAGCGCCCCTGGAAAGACGCCCTTAATCCAAAT